GCTTCATTCAGCTTTTCTTTATTATTTAGAATATTACTTATACCCATCAAATTATATGCGATATCACGCAATCATTGACAATACTCCAACAATATGTATCCTCCCGTCATATTACTCTTACCAGTCTTTTGCATAATATTGATGTTATTTTTAATAGGTTAGGAAAGTCTGATCATGCTATGTACTTTCATCGCCAAACACTCATTCTGCAAGAGAAATACTATCCATGATTGCGTGATATCGCATATAATTTGATGGGTATAAGTAATATTCTAAATAATAAAGAAAAGCTGAATGAAGCCATTGACTACTATCAAAGAGCATTAAAGATTCAACAGAAACATTATCCGTCAGGACATGATAAAATGGCTACAACACTCATTTGTATCAGTTACATACTTGAGGTTGAAAAAAGTATGATGAGACACTTGACTTTTATCAGCAAACCCATTCACTACTTACAAGACTTGGCAGCTGTCAACCCTCGAATTACGTACAGATTGCTAACACTCTGAGTAACATTGGTGATGTTTCTTTCATATTTACAAGATAAGCATCAAGAAGCTCTTGAATATCAACAACGTGCACTATGAATCAGAGAAAAATACTTGTTATCTGATCATGACAAAATTGTCTCTAGCTGCATTAAACTTATTTGTAGTTGACGTAGTCAAGTTAATTATGCCGATACACTTGAATTTCAGCAACGAGCTCTAGCAATTCAAGAAAACCTTCATGCAAAGAATGACAAGAATATAGTGAAACGGCTAAATGATATTGCCGATATTCTCATTAACCAAGAAAAATACAACAAGATCCTTGCTTTTTTTGCAACGAATATCAGAAGGGTGTGGGTATGAGTGTTTTTTCTGCTATGAACAGCTAAACCCCACACCCACACCCGTTACAAAGCGAAGATGAAGACGCATCGAATTGCATATTATATATTTTCCTAGATGTCATCTGAAATTTCTTCAAACAATTTTCTAAGTATGCAAAAAAACGGTTTTTTATTTCTTCACAGAAATTGCTAGAAAAATATCTTACGGCTTCGACTAGAACATCTATAAGTTCTGAATGATTAATTCAAAATATCTGAAACTTCTTTAGTTTTGCAGGCCTTCCATCGAGAATTTGAATAGATGCACGACAATTGAGAATTTCCTGTAAACACCTTATGACGTAGGCTTATTTTTAAAGAAATCGATTGAAAAGCTTTAAAAAGCCATGTCCATAAACCAATAATAAAATTCGGTGCATCTTCATTTCTTCTTTCGAATGGTGAAAACCACAGCTCTCTATCTTATTTTTATCAAAAGTTATTCAAAAACTATTCACTCAATAGGCATTAGTATAATCATCACAAATGTTAGAACAACAGACTTTATTGAAATTTTATTATTATGATATTAGTTGAACTATGATCAAATAGCATAGAAAACAAGAGAATTGTTTTCTCTATCAGACTATATAAAGAGAAATTTCTTAAAGTTTATTATACGGCATTAAAGTGTCAATACCCTGACTTTTTGTATGCCCTAAGTAATAAAACCTAATCAACTGAAACCGACTAAAAACGTATAATTTCGTTGTCACATAAATGCACTCGTAACATAAAAAAGCTCATTGGATTCAGTAACTTCTAATATCTTCCGACTGTCGGAATACTGTCTCAAGGATTCTCAGAAATTCCGGCAGGATTCTGTCGAAAATCATCGAATTTCTTTGGATGTTCGAGTCTCAGATTCTTCAATCTGGAAGGGTGTGAGAGTGTGGATGTGGATTTTAACATTCTTTTCATTGACATCAAAATCCTGTTCTTTTTTGTGAATGCACAATCACTCAGAAATAGCACGTTCTTATTTCATCATGTTGAACACTTGTTGCTTAGCTTTGTAAAATAAGCAATGACAATTGAATGTAGGTTTGAATATGTTAGATAACGGTGAATCATACCCACAACATTAATGACATTTCTAATTCGAAAATAAAAAAAAATTTACTGTCATTTTTTCAGGATTTAATCTTTTTAATATCCTAATAGTCTTCAACTACATTTTTTTTCAAGAACAAATTGTTCGAACTAATTATATAAAACGACCTATGCAGAATTGCAATGAATGGCTCGATAGCAACCGTGTTGATCAATTTTTGCTATTCGTTATAAATATGTTTTGATGTTCTGTCGTGTGCAATATTCACTATACGAAAATCATTCAAGCAAATCGTTTCATGTATAGAGTGTACACGTTATGTAAAAATGTTTGGAATTGAGTGTACACCAAAACAACGCTTGCTAGCGCAGTCCCTTCTAGGCTAAAATGTGGAAGTCACGTATGACCTTTTGTGTAATTCTACTAATACAGAATACGTAAAGTGTGAAATTATTGCTTTTTAAATTCATTTTCCTTGCTTCCTGATGTCTGTAATGGATGCCTGTCCGTAATGGGTGGAGGGGGAAGCCGCAAAAATATACCCCTTAAACTTACACGCACCATTTTCTTCGAAAATATATGTGAGTTCCACAAAAATATTTTTAAAAAGGAGACAAAACCCAAACAAATTAAGAAAGAAGAGTCATTTATCACTGTCTTGCTGTAAAGAAAAAAAATCATTAAGCAAAAGAAGCAAACAGCATTGCATATGTTGTGTAAATGTTTGCGATCGACTGTGCAACAAAATATATTTAAAAAAAGGGAAAAAAAAATAAGAAAGACGAAGAGTCATATATAGTTGTCTTGCTGCAAGGTAAAAAAGAATCATTATACAAAACAAACAGACAGCGTTACACATAGAAGAAAAAAAATTAACCAACAGCACTTCGGCATAAAATTGTTGTCTCTCTATTAGATTTTTTTCCTTATATCATGGTGAGTGAACTATTAGGAGAACAGGAAAAGTAGAAATGGACTAATTAAATACCATACACGATCAGTACTCGAGTCAAGGACAGTTCTCAAGATCAGAGCTGTCAAAAGTCTAATCTATATAGCGACATCATTAGTTTACAGTCTTGGACAATTGTGAACTTTATCTAATCGTTCCATTCAATGTGTTTGATTTAGCTCATTATTTATTTTTATTTAATGCCTGAAAGTCGATTACAACTCAACTTTTCAATCCCAATATTTTCGATAGTTTTTTACAGCATAACAATCGTCCAGTTTTGACTCATATGAAATTCAAAATTTATTGATCGATATGTTTTCTATCGTCAAAAATAGTTTACGTCTTTCTCGGAACGCCACTATAAATCAGGAGTTTATCTAATTGATAGAAAAACATAGTAGAAAGCGTATAATATTTTGATGTTTGGTACTAGCTTACTCAACTACGAGATACCAGTATATTACGAAGATTTATAAAATCTTATGAAATCGATTATTCATCTTTGACATGCATGTTTATTTCATTTGTGAGATTTTTGTAAAAGGAAATCAAGATTTTTATTAATTTTTCCGCGAGAAAATAATACTCTGTATTGATATAATCAAGAAGTTTGTTTTCGTGACATACGAGAATGTACTTTACGCATACTATTTGAATTCAATTTCTCATTAATTATCGAGTAGAAAATATTTCAGAATTGTTAATCATGTTTTTATTCAGAATCAGTAAGATCTTCGAAGTTCTTATTATTCAGTTGGCATACTCTTATTTTCTGTCTATATTACGAGTAAAATAAAAACAATAATTCTCGTATTTCATTTTTTTTCTAGCTTTTTTACAATTTGTTTTCTTTGTTGTAATAAATAAAATAGATTAAATCGCTGGAACAATGAGATTCTGTAAGAAATCCCGGTTTACTGATCTTGAAGATGAACCTGTAGATCGTCTATTGCCACCTATAAGAGGCTATCAAGACCAACCACTTGTTTCATTAACTGAAGCAATTCAACCTGTTTCTAATTATTTCGATGAAATTAAAAATAATGTTATGATTGCGTTACGTAATTCTCAAAACCCTGCTGATGGATTAACTCAAGAAGAATCATCTTCTATACATTTATATACTATGCAATTCGATGAAGGACCAAGTTTATATGAATTACTTAATCAATCATTACGTGCTGAAAATCGTCAAAATTTGAAACCATGGTTTCCATATCTTAGATTATTTTGTACTGCACTAAATAAACTGCCATCACAAAGCAAAAGAGTATGGTGTGGAGTTCACGGCGTTGATTTAAGTGTAAAATACCAAAAGGGTACAATATTTGCTTGGTGGGGAGTTACTTCTTGTATGAATGATATGAAAGCACTTGAATCAAGTCAATTATTGGGTACACAAGGGCAACGTACATTCTTTTCGATTGAATGTATCAATGGGAAATCGGTTTCAGAACATTCATTTTTCAAAACCTCAGAAGAAACCATTCTCATGCCTGGCTCCTATTTCGAAGTGATAGACCAATTACATTCAATTACTGAACTTCATATTATTGGGTTAAAAGAAGTTACAACATCCATGACACTTTTTACACCAGCGTTTACTATATGGAACGAACAAAAATCTTCATCGGTCGTAGATAAACCGAGTGCATCTTCTTCACCAACAGCAGTTATGGTGACGCCGACCACATCTACCTGCAACGTTTTAGAAAAAATGACAAAAGGTATGATTGATTTTATAGTTCTGTTAGCTTCATGTTTGTTTTCTATTTTCGTATGACCAATAAATTAAAACGGAAGCGAAATTATTCACACATCCAGTTAATGTGTTTGAACTAATAGGAAAACGATGTACGCTGGTACTCTAAGAGTACAAGAATTCTAAGTAGTAGGGAGAAAAAGGTACTGAGCTACGCCGTTTCTCTTGATTTATTCTTGTTGGACTTTGTACTGCAATGGAATTCATGTACCCCAGTGGACTCCGTATACTGTGAGAGCATCAGGATATGTCGTTTCCCTTATCTTTTACTTATTCGATTTTGCTCTTCTGCATATAGCGTTTAAAGCAACCATCATAGTTAAGTTTTTATGCACATCCATTATCATAACAAATGAGGGAACCTTCCAATATGTTAAAAAGCTTTTGAACTCAAATTTCGTTCTCAAGTAGGCATCATATAGACTAGAAAATTTTTAAGAGAATATGGCCTGAAATATCGACATTTTCTTGTATTTTTCCTTGACCGCTCTACTTTTCTGCTAAAATCAAAGTTTCGACGTTTGATCTGAAATTTTACACATATCAAGCCAACACGTAGACTACATAGTTTACTCACAAAGTTTCAATAATATCAGAAAAATCATTTCTGAGATATTGCTTTTCGAAAATATCCATGTGTGACACATTTTACAAAGAAAAGCATCTTTGATGGACGTGGATGTCCGATGAAGATCTAGATCCACACCCTAATTGCAAGTCAAATGACTTCGTCAACCAATTTTCAAAGAATAGCTCTGCTCTCAGTATCCTTTTCGTTTCGAGATTTAATTATATGTCTGAAAGATTTCGCAAGATCTTTAAAGAGTATATATAAAATAATAAAATTATTTTTTGTTTTGAATAAATTAATACTTACGCTTTTAGATATTTTTTTATTTTAACTAAATAGTGTTTAAAGGACGTGGATGCAGTTGCCGACGAATGAAAAACAGGTTCACACCCATACACTTGTTTGTTTACTAAGAAAGTTATATACTTGACAATGAGTTTCAGATGATATTTATTTTCCTCTAAACAATGATCGGTGATAACATCCATCTAGTAAGGTTAAATTCATTAATTTGAAGAATGATAGATTTTCTTGCACTTCTGAGAAAAGAATACTCACGAATAAGAACTAATATTTAGAACCGATGAAAAATGTAATAACTATTGATCGAAGAAAAAATACACTACTATTATTAAGAGTGAAAATCTTTTTATTTGATCCAGTGTTGTTTTTTTGAATAAATGACTTCTTATATAAAACCATATGTTTCAGTACTCACATTAACTAAAGATTATATGGCTCAATGGGCAGCAGATTATGTCTATGCTGATGAAGCACTTATTGTACCGTTTCCAAGTTTAGCTATATTTGATCCGGATACAAATATATGGCGCATCCAGATTACAGCTTGGTTATATTTACCATTTGAAAGCAAAAAGATAAAAAGCTATCTATCATCATTACCCACTATTTTAAGCGGTAAAACGGAAGGAAATGTCGAAGATTCTATTAATCAATCTAATAAAAAACCATATGGACTAAAAAGCTTGAAAGCTCTTGTCCTAAACGAAGCAAATAAATATAAAAGCAGCGAAGAAAAATCAGTGACTGACAACTATGTAGATGATGATGTTAATGAAGATGCCCGACGTAAGTTAAAATTTATTTATTTATCTTTTTTTTTTAATTTTTATAAATATTTTTTCATAATAAAAGAAGATTTTGATAAACCAAAAGGAAAACCGGATCGCTTAAGTTTATTTTTTGTTGGAACACCTGTTAAAGCTGCAATTAAATGTATAATTAATGATGTTGAACATTTAACGAAAACATCTGATGAAAATGGTTTAGTAGAAGAACAACTTGAATTACCTCATGAAGAAATTCAAACGATTTCAAAAATAATTCATCCTGAATCCGATGATCGACAATTAGATTGTGAAATTCGAATAAGTGAATCGAAAACTGATGTTAAACAAGAAAATTTCAAAGCACAGAAATGTACTATATATGTTCTTGCATCTCATGGTGTTAGCATTATATCAGATATTGATGATACAATAAAAATTTCGAAAGTTTTATTTATACCATCATTATTAAAGAATACATTTTATGATGATTTTAAACCTGTTAATGGTATGAATGAACTTTATCAAAAATGGCATAAGCAAAAATGTCAATTTCATTATGTTAGTGCAAGCCCATGGCTATTGTAAGTCGAGAATATTTATATAAACCAAAAGAAAAACTAAAACTGACGAATAAAGTTTAGATTTCAAGCTCTTTTTTCCTTTTTGGAGAAGCATAAGTATCCAATGGGTACAATTAATTTAAGAAAATATGAGAATTTGGTCAAATTTTTAGAATCAATCGACACCTATAAAATGGATATAATTTCACAAATCATTCGTGCTTTTCCTCTCAGGAAATATATCTTTGTTGGAGATTCAGGTTTGATAAAACATTGAACAAAAATGTGAATACATTGATTTATGTTTGTTAGGGAGATCAAGATGCTGAAGTGTATGCTGAATTATACAATACTTTCCCTCAAAATGTCGCTCATATATTTATTAGGGATGTTTGTCAAACACCTAAATGTTTACCACAATGCCAAGAACGATATATAAAAACATTCAAAGATGTACCAAAACGAAAATGGACTGTCTTTAAAGATCCTAAAACGATAGAAACAAATATTGAAAAAATAATCGCTATATAAAATTATACTATATTCGAAATGTTCGGACACCAGCATTTTGGATGTTGGTGTGATATTTTAAGATTTGATGTGAATAAAAAGCTAGCAAGACGAGTTTCGAATACGCTTTAAGTAAGCTTATCAATTGCTAGTGTTGTAAAGGATAATAAAGCAATGTATCTCTTCTACTATCAATTACTATAGTTAAAAGTGTATAAGGGAATTGTGGATATGGGTGGAATGAATGTAGGCGGTGGGATAAAAACAATACTAACACCTGCATCCACATACATTCTGGAATTCTGTTTTGACTGGACAACATTGAATCTTTAAAATTGACTAATGCTTCTCGGAGTAGGATCGAAATTCAAGCTTTGTCGAGTCAAATTAAAATCTTAATAGGGTTTTAGGATTTGATCGGGCACAATTGGAATTATAATTCTGGTCGGGTGTGGGTATGGGTGTGAGTGTGTGGGTGTGGATGAGTGTGGATGGGTGTAGGGCTGTGGGTGTGGGTGTGGCTGTGTGTGGGTGTGTGTGGCCGTCGGTGTACGTTGCATACGTAGGTTGTATCTCCGAAACGGCACCCCGCCTGCCA